TACTTCTACCTTTTAAGAAGACTATACCATGGTATACTAAAGCATCAAATCATAGGACCTGGCTCATAAGTCTTAGTTTTTCTGATTACTATTTTTTTTTGGGGGGGTCCGGTCGTGGGGCCTGAGCTCTGGGCCTGGGCGCTGTCCCTCAGCTCTTCAACTCAAGGCTAGCGCTCTACCACTTGAACCACAGTGCCACTTCCGGCTTTTTTTTCTGCTTATGTAGTGCTGAGGAATCGAACCCAGGGCCTCATGCATGCAAGGCAAGCGCTCTACCACTGAGCCACCTTCCCAGCCCCTGATTACTATTTTTTTTTTTTTGGGTCCGGTCGTGGGGCCTGAACTCTGGGCCTGGGCGCTGCCCCTCAGCTCTTCAGCTCAGCGAGCACTCTACCACTTGAGCCACAGCGCCACTTCCAGTTTTTTTCTTTTTGCTTACGTGGTGCTGAGGAATCGAACCCAGGGCCTCAGGCATGCAAGGCAAGCGCTCTACCACTGAGCCACCTTCCCAGCCCTTGATTACTATTTTTTTATCATTTGATAAACTAACTTTTCAAACTTTACTATGGTCAATCCTCTCAATTTACTTCACAAAGTACAATGCGATAGCTGGAAAAATGAAATATGTTTAAGTATTTTATGTACTTTTATGCCATATGTTTTATGCCATATATGTAATTATTAACAATGTGTTTACTATTTCTTCAAGTTTAACTTTATTACCTGATTTAAAAACTTGTCTCATTAATAGGTTATCATTTTATTAGTATATTTTTTATAAGGTGAGTAAATAGAAAATTATATTTTTGCAGAACTTATTTCCCTGTAAACTATTTTTAGTTTGCAAAATTTATTTTTCTTTTTTAAATAAAATATAGCTTTATTACTTGACTTACGTAACTGCAACCCCTACATCACCCTTATAATAGCAATTTAAAACTTTTGCTAAGTAACTTTATTTCTGAAGGATATATAATTGGAAATCTTCCTTCTGTCAGTTCCTTACCAAGTCTATATCCATTGTATCAAAATCCATTCCCTCATTAAGATCCTCAATCCTTCCTTCTGAGGACATCATAACGTCTTCAACAATTGGCTCTTCATCATCTTCCATTAGACTTGTACCACGCCGACTAGAGAAATATAAAACAAAGTGAAGATCTGAACCATGTCATGTATATTGCAACTATGTGGTTAAATATATTCAACTATAATGGAAAATGATGGAATTAAAGGTCAGGGAGAATGATTACACTTTGATCATGTCATCGATGATGTCGAAATCCCAATGTTCATTTATTTAAAAATGCTAAGGATTTAGATTTATTCTACATTATACTTAATTAATGTTCTGATATGTCATATACAAGGTTCAATGAGAATTTTCCACATGGGAACATACAAGATACCTCAAATCCTTTTTGCAAGTAGGCAGGGCATAAATTAATAAGCAAACAAAACAGAGACCAAAGAAATGACATTTTTAGAATACATGTATTTTTATAATATATAATGCTCAATTTAAGCATCACTCACTCTTTCACTCAGTATATAATGTGTACCAGTACTCAGTCACTCACTGAAGTCATTTACTCACTGAATGCCTATTCTGTGACAACTTCTACTATGTTCAATGGATGCCAGAAAATATGAATAAGATTCCTGCCCTCAAGGAGCTCACAGTCTACTATGAGAACGTAAACAATTGTGACAAAAAGCAGAACTGTGCATCAATTGCTATAAAGACATACTAAAATGAAGTGACTCTCCCTCAGGAATAAGGCTAAAACTTGAATCCTTGTACTCTATGAAATTCAAAACTAAGACATTAATTAGAAAAGAAAAGCAAAAGTTAAGACCAATAGCTCTGTTTGATCATATAGTTATGGAGCAAATAAACTAATGTTCACAAGTTAGCCCACATCAGCATATTTATTTTCCCAGTTTGGCTAACATTACATTACTTTTGTCATTAAAAGATCCTTTACCATCATAAACCTATGAAAACCTCAATGGTTAACAAATGCTTACAATAAATACAATAATATGCTGGATCTCAAAAGAGATAAAGATAGAGCCAGGTGTTGGTGGCCCATGCCTTAGCAGGCTAAGATATGAGCATCACAGTTCAAAGACAAACAGGATAGGAAAGACTGTTAACACTTTATTTCCAACTAAGCACCAAAAAGCCAATAGTTGAACTGTGGCTCAAGTGGTAGAGCACCAGCCTTGAGCAAAAAAGCTAAGGGACAGCACTCAAGCTGTGAGTTCAAGCACAGTACTAGCATGCACACACGCATGTGCAAGCACACACACTCTCTCTCTCTCCCCCTTCTCTCTCTCTCTCTCTCTTACCCCCCACCCAAACACACACAAAGGCAAAGCTAATAAGACATGATAATTGATCCAGGCTACTTGGACAAATATGTTGACAATGGTCCTAACAGTTCTGGATAATAAAAGATGGTTTTTACTATGTGATATCAACTACAACTGGGAAGTATTTTCAGTTAAAGGGCAGATACCATTATACAGAAAAGTCACTGTAAAACAAACAAGTACTCTACAATCCCAGGCAACAAATTGCTTATGGGAAAATGGTTGTTTAACTCAGACAATCCCTTTTTGTTGTCTGGGAGAGATTACCTGTAATTAGGAATTAAAACAAACTGTAAACAAAAAGAATAATGATAATGGGATGCTCTAGAAGATGTTGGAAACTGGTATTCTTAGAACAAGTTTTGAAGCAAATCATAGTAGAATTTTACATTATTTCATGATTGAGTGGAAACTACGAAACTAGTTGTAGGATCAAGCATATAACAACAAAACATATTAAGATGTGGCCAAAGAAACAGGAAAGGAGGGCCACCTGTAATTCTAGCTACTCAGTAGGCTGAGATCTAAGGATTGAAGTTCAAAGCCAGCCCAGGCAGGAAAGTCTGTGAGACTTTTATCTCCAATTAACCACCAGAAAACTGGAAGTGGCACTGTGGCTCAAGTAGAGCGCTCACCTTGAGGTGAAGTAGCTCAGGGACAGCACCCAAGCCCAGAGTTCAAGCCCCACGACCGACACAAAAAAAAGAAAAAGAAAGAAAGAAAGGAAGGAAGGAAGGAAGAAAGTAAGAAAGAAAGAAAGAAAGAAAGAAAAAATCAAGTGATAATATTAGCCAAATGAGGATCAGAATCTATACCTGTAATAGAGAATATGTCATGATAGAGGTTATCATGACCACTAGGAAGATAGCTGATAAAACCCTTAAGAGCAACAAATTAAAACAAAATATAAAATTTAAAAAAGAGGGTAACAATTACTACTTCCTAGCATTAAAAATATACATTTAAGTTAAACTGATGTTAAACTCAAAACTACTAGAATGAACACACTTTCCTCTGTAAGCCAATCAAGACATATAAAATACAATCTAAAGACCACTTGTTTGAAATTCATTTAGGAGACAAAGCTAACAAAGATTTCAGCTATAATTGTAATATTCTCATACAGAATCCAGTAAAAAGAAAGTATTTAAAAGAAAATTATAATTTTCCAGCACTGAATATTTTTGTTCACTGACCATTGATTTAGCACCTTCTATTTGCCAAGCACTAACAGGAAATGAATGAGGTCCCTGCCCTTTAGGAGCTCACAGTCTAGAGAAAGGGACAAACTCATACAGGTATAATTACAATACAACATGGCAAGTACTGTAAGAAATTATGAATATCCATTATGTTATGGGAGCATAGATGAGTGCAGCTTTGTTTAAGGTGATACCTGAGCTTGTTCTTGCACAAAGATTGTACCAGTTGCCAAGAATGATATGACAATATTAAAACATAAGCAGGGGACCTATTTTGAAAAATCTCGCATGCCATGAGCTAAAAGAGTCTGAATTTTATCCAGCAGGCAATATGGAGCCATGGAAAAGTTTTAAGTAAGAGAGTTACATGGGTAAGATTTTTACTCTAGAGTAGTAATTCTTGATGGCAATGTGAACAATGGAGTGGTAGGGAACGTGAAGGGAGGGAATTGGTGAGAGGATAAATGGGTGCTTTAGGGAAGAAAACCAGTTAGAAACCTAATACAATAGTTCAGGTAAGAAATGAGGGCCTGAACTAAGGTGGGAAAATCAATTAAAATATAACATAAATGTACTTTTAATTCTGTGTACCAAAATAAACAAGGACTTTTTCCAACAGATCAACCTATAATTTAATTGGTCCTCTAACTAACTAAGCAAAATTTAACTTAAAACATTTTCTCTGTTGGAAAGACCAATTTTTAGTTCCTTGATTATTTCAGCTTAGTTACTCTAGAGAGTTTGCTGAAATTTTAGCTAAGGCACACATTGAATTATGTTAAATGAATTAGTGAACTTCCTAGACTCAGACAATAAGGCACTCTCACTTACATGGCATGCTGAAGATTAGTTCGCAGTTTAACATAGCTCATTGCTGCTCTCTCCTGCTGTTGCCTTGCTTCCTCTTGTTGTCTTTGAGCTAACATCCATGTTACCTGCGTGCTTCAAGGAGAATTTTATTCTTCTTTTAATTTAACTTTTTTCTATGTAATTAATAAAGTTCTAGTACACAAATGATCAAATGTACTTACTTATAATCAAGAGGAGCTTGATGATGCTCAGTCTGCATAGGATAGACACTCATGAAGCTATCCTCAGGCCGTAATCTTTTGGGCTCTCTCATGATAGTGGAAGTGAGCTGCGGTGTCTGCATCATAACAGGTGTGTGCAGTGCTTGATCTCTGCTTAACCACATACTGTCACTACTACTGCTTTCTTCAGCTGAAAGAGAACATTGACAGCAATGAAGTTGAGATGCCTAATATAACCCATTCAAGTCAATAAACATTTCTGTTGCTTTCTGTAAGCCTAGTGTCCAGAACAGTGACACAAAGATATGGAAGGCAGTTTCTGCCCTACCTTTAGTCTAGTTCTGAGGAAAGAGCAAGTAGGCAATTACAATATAAAAGAAACACAGCTGGCCTCTGGGTGCTGCTTACCACAGGCTGTGTTCTTACACTGACTGTATAGAAAGAGGAGGCAGAGTAAACCTACCTCATATACACCTCAGCCCAGGCCTGTGCCTAGTCTGTATTGTGAATGGGGAGACAAGGGAAAAAAAAAGAAAGAAAGAAACACAGCTATCCACAGCAATGTTAAGTAACATAGGGATCATAGGCTTGAAAGGCTTCTTCACTGGGAAGAAGCTAAAAGCCCTGAAAATAACAATAACTTAATAATACAAACTTGCTGATAATTAATAAAATGAAAAATGACAACTTTATATGGTTCAAATTGCTCAATATTCTTTGGATATAAAGATCAAAAGAGTGATAAAGTAAAATTCCATATGCAGCCATGCAAGGTGGTACACACAATTTCAGCAGGGGAAGGGAATATGAGTTTTAAAGACAGCCTGGTCTACATAGCAAGACATTGTTTCAAAAAAGAGGGGGGGCAAGGAGGTAGAGGTCTACACATAGAAAGTCTCATGATCTGTTCCCAGGAATCAGCTGGGCACTGGTGGCTCACACCTGTAATTCTAGCTACTCAAGAGGCTGAGATATGAAGATTGTGATTCAAATCCAATCAACCACCAAAAGGCCAGAAGGAGAGCTGTGACTCAAGTGGAAGAGTGCCAGACTTGAGCACAAGAACTCAGGGTTAGCACCTAGGCCCTGAATTCAAGACTCAGGAGTAGTACACATGCACACATGCGCACACACACATGCGCACACACACACACGCGCACACACACCACCACCACCACCACCACCACCCCAGGATGTCACACATATTCTATACCCCAAGATGACAGGAACCCACTGTTGAAAGTTTTTTCAGAATGGAAGAAATTTGGTAAGTTAATTTTTTTTTTTTTTGGTTAGTCGTGGGGCTTGAAGTCTGGGCTTAGGTGCTGTCCCTGAGCTCTTTGGCTCAAGGATAGCATTCTACCACTTGAGCCATAGCACTATTTCTGATTTCCTGGTGGTTAATTGGAGATAAGAGTCTCAATGATTTTCCTGCCAGGGCTGGCTTTGAACCACAATCCTTAGATCTCAGCCTCCTGAGTAGCTAAGATTACAGATATGAGCCACTGGCACCCATCAGTTAAATGTTTTAATCAATATATGGAGGGTGAACTTAACAGGCTAGTTAGGAGAGTAATCATATACCCCTTAATAGGAGAGTGGTAACCAATCTAAGAGATGCAGGCTGTTAAACAGTTCTTAAAAGAACTTCTTAACTACAAGGGGAAATCACACTTGTAAGTATAAAGTCATGGTTGGACTAAAGTTATTGAAACCATTAATCCATAAGGTAATCATATCTTAACACTGTACATCTGATGACAAATGCTACATAAATTTTGTGAAATTTAAAAATATAGTCCTAAGATATTTTAAACACTTCTCATATTAACAGATACAGGACTGGGCCTGGTAGCATACATTGAGTCATGGTAACATATATTTATAATCCCCACACTGGGAAGACAGGAAGATTGAATATTTTTCTTGCTGGTTCTGGAGCTTGAATTCTGGGCCTGGGCACTACCCACCCCTGAGCCTCTTTGTGCTCAAGGCTAGCCCCTGAAACCACAGAACCACTTCCAGCTTTTTGTGAGTAGTTTACTAGAGATATGGACTTTCATGCCCGGGTTGGCTTTGAACCACAATCCTCAAATCTCAGCCTCCTGAGTAGCTAGGATTATAAGTGTGAGCCACTGGCATCTAGCTTAAGAGATTTGGTTTTTTGTTTTTTGGGTTTTTTTTGAGAGAAGACCCTATCGAAAAAAATAGAGGACTATGTTTTTTCCCTCTACAATTTGCACAATTGCAGAAGTTATACTATGCCTGTATGCAGACCTACACCTTATGAGACATACAGATCCTAGATTTTGAGGGTTATTTGTAAGTGCTTTGAGTTTACCTGAAGGCAAATATGCTTCCATATGAATATAGCCACCACCCAACATACCACATAATATAAACATTGCAATGTCCTAAGTTTTGAGCTAGTTTATTACTTGGTACAATAAATTCTGAGAAATGCTAATTTCTTTTAAAGGTTCCTGAAAACAGGAGAAGTACCCAGATGCGTACAAAACCAATCTTGGAATGCTAGGATCCCAAGAACATGAAGCATCATAACTCATTCTTATCTATAATATAATATACAGCACTTCGAATTTCTGTTAAGTTCTAGATTATTTCTTCATAGAAATTCAGAAGTTTCAACTTGTATAAATCTCTTGCTCTGCTTCAAACGAGATAATCTGATCTCCCAAGTAAAAACTAGTTCTTTCATGCTGAATCCATTTCCCTGTGCATATGGTATAAAACAGTGATTAAAAAAAAAATAGGTACTTTACAGTGAGATTACCACGCTCGCCTACCAAATGTGTGATTTTGGGAAAGTTAATTCTGTTGTGATAGCTCTCTCATCTGAAAAATGAAAACATACCTGAAGAGTTGAGTTGATCAGCTTGAGTTTATGTTTACAAAACATTTAAAGCTAGCCAGGAGATGGTGGCTCACCCCTGTAATTCTAGCTACTCAAGAGGATGAGATTTGAGGTTCCCAATTCAAAGCCAGCCCAGACAGAAATGTCAGTGAGACTCTTATCTCCAACTAACCACCAGAAAACCAGTAGTAGTGCTGTGGCACAAGTGGTAAAGTGCTAGCCTTGAGCTGAAGAGCTCAGAGACAGCACCCCGGCCCAGAATTCAAGCCCCATGACCAACCAAAATAAATAAATAAATAAAACAAAAAAACCCCACATTTAAAGCACCAATGACTGGCACATGGTGTAAGCTATTGTTAAACAATACATACTAAATAAAAAATTAAGGATCTTAATGGCAATTCAGTTGGTAACCACCAGAATATAAACAAACTATATCCTTACGGAGTGCAAGTTGCATGCCTTCAACCACTTTCCGTTTTCCTGTAGATGGTTTTGATTTTTTACTCCTTACAGTTGACCCCCGACTGCTGATTCCACTAATAACTGACATAGTGTCATCATCACCACCAGCTAGCAAAGAATTTCGGTAAGACATCAGTGGAAGCCACACATCTTCTCTTCGGAGTGACATCTGAAAGGTCATGAACTTTTCCAAGTAAACATACCTTAAAAAGAAATATAAACGGTTACCTTTGACATATAAAACTGCCAATTCTACTACTCCCTTAGATATAGAAACATAATTTGATCTCTAGTCAGCAGGACACTGATTAGCAATTTTATCTCTATCAATATTCTTACATTGAATGAGAAAATTCAAGGACTTCAGATTAACATTTCTAAATTATCTACTACATTCCACCCACATACAGAAAATATAGGAAGATGAATCATATATACTCCCTATCTGTAAAAAAATTCTTCTTGATGGAAATAATAAATTTGCCTTTGGATCAAATTATCACAAGGCTTATATGTAATTTTACAATGAAAACTCAACATTCAACTGACTTCTATTCACTAGGCATTCTTTTCTCAGTTCTTTTATTATTCCTACCATTACATGGGGGAAACATTCTCTCCATTGTACAGATGAGAAAAGAAATGATACGAAATTTTAAGACTATGTACACACAATAGTAACAATAAGTAGTATATCCATGATTTACATATCATGATCTGACACTAAAGCCAAATTATGTTTAGTAAAGACAATTATCAACTAATTGTAAAGTTCAATTCAAATATTTATTGCCATTGCAGTGACTAATTCCAATCAATTCACATTTACTAACACAGTTACGTATATACTGCTTTGTGGTAATTGTTCAGTACATTTTAATTTATAATACATTCAAACACACAGAGTAAATAGTAAAGACTCTCCAATGTTGCTATGAATAGGCTAGCAATCTGGGAATTATTAGCAATCATATAAAACAAAGTTTGAGCTAAACTATGCTCAAATGGTAGAGATTCAGAGCCCTATACCCTCCATATAACCTAATATATTCTAATATTACCAAAAAACTCTCAATGAAGCCATTCTTATTTCTGTTCCTCTCTGCTTCAGAGGGTCTACTAACCTGAATTTGCTATTTATCATCTCCATGCAGAGTGTTTGTATTTCACATATAGATATAGGTGTCCATAAGCACAAAAACAAGACTTTGTACAGGATAATATAAAATTCTCATTAGGATGCTATATGGCATTCCATAAGCTATCCATCTATTGAGTCATTTTCTTATAGATGAATATTAAGATTGTTATGCAATTTTCCCTATTCAAACAATACAACACTGAACAATTGTATGCACATGTTCACAAGTTCTTCCAGATTGAAACCACTAGATATGAGGTAAGGTGAATCCTAAACTTCACTCAGTAATGCCAAATGGCTCAACTAAGTGGTGTATTAATTTACACTGTCACCAGCAATGTATGAAAGGTTCCACTGCACCATATGCTTGGCAATATTTAATATTATGAGATGTAATCTTTGCTAATGGGCTACATAAAAATAATTCATTGTTTATTTCATATTTTTCTGGCTAAGAGTATATGGTCTTACAATTTAAATAGACCATGTCTTGCTTTTTAGTACAGACATGGCCCTGAACTGAGTGCTCAAGTAATCCTCCTCCATAAGCCTCAAAATGATTGGGACAACAGATCTGCACTACCATACTTGGCCAATTCAATTTTTAATTGGAATAAATTCACATGTAATAAAATGTACAGAAATTAAGAGTATAATTAGATCATTTTGAAAATGTATGGCATTTATATAACCCACATACTATACAAGATGTAAAACATTGCCAGGACCCAAGTATTCTATTCTCTCTTCTCATTCAGTAAAACCAGTCCTAAAAGTAACCACAACTGTGGTTTCTATGACCACAGATTAGTTTTTGTTTTCTTTAGAATTTCATAGAAAATAGTCTTTAAACGCAAAATATTGGTGGATTTATACAAATGATTATACCATGAGATTTATATTCTTCCTCCTTTTTGCAACACAAAACTAAGGGGAGGAAATTTAAACCTATCTTTTGGATTTATCTCTCATTAAGACATGATTTTAGAAGACTAACCCAGAGAAGTTCCCTGTTAAATGGTCTATTAAAAACAGGAAAAT